TTCAAGAACTTTAATATAAATGCTGAAAGTGTATTTTAGCCTACATGCACACTAGTGATAAAATCAAAGACAGAAAAAAGGCTGTCTTTGTACATTTGCACTTGCACTCATCCTCTGATTATTTCAAAGTCTTCAAAAGCATGACAACATTTCTAGTAAGGGAATATTTTTATTTGTTAATGCATATCAGAGCATTTAAATTAAGGAGACGGCCTCCTTATTTTTAAGAATATTCATTATAGTTTTTTAGGCTGGCTCAGTGTGACTTCTATTGCTTTGATCTTTGCTTTTTTCCCTTTGGCAATTTTTCATTTTGACATTTTAAACTTGGTTAAAAAGGCTTCAAAAGTGTTATCACTAAACAGCTTCTTGCCGCTGCTTTGACTAAGAGGTTCTGTTGAAATTCATTGAAAATAATTTAGACAATGCATTTACTTTTCACTTTTACTCTGTCACGCCTTTCACCTTAATGAAAAAAATTATAAATAAATAAGTCTTGTCATTTGATGAAATGCATTATTGTCTTTGCCTCATTCTCTTCACAGGGTGCCAAAATCAGTATTAAAATGTGCTCGTTTTCACTGAAACCACAAGACCTGCTGGGAGTTTACAACAATCCAGTGCAGGCAGTGACCTTGTGAAGAAGCACCCAAGTGCAATGCTAAATTTAGATCCAACACAAGATAATACTAAGATACACGATCAGACAATAGTTCAAAGCAAGACTAATGGAACCAAAATTCACACAACACATCAAGCAATACTAGACGAGGGAAACCATTAGAGGGTATAAATACACAAGCAAATGATTAAACAAGACAGTCAGTGATCAGTGAACGTACATGACATTGCCGTATCAGACAGCTGAGAAACACAGTATATAGAGGTAGTAAGGCAATAAGACTGTAGGGAATAAATGTATTGTATGCTGCCTATTATATCCCACAATCTTGTGCATGATTGACTGGTTGAATTAATTAAAAAATTATATAGAAATAACCATAAAAAATAATCAAATAAATAAAATCAACTTATGACTCCATTTCTGAGAAATAAGCATTGTAGCCACATTAAATACTCACTTGGTTTTTAACACCCACTTGAATTTGTTCTAGATCATTAGACATGATGTTATCGTGCCTTGGAAAGCCTGTCTAGTTTCTGTAAGCCGTACCTTCATCTTAAAACACAGTCTATTTAGTCATTGACTGACTGGACAGAAAGGTAGTTAGCATAGCATACTACAGCTTCAAAATAAAGGGCCGACATAAAAAGTGAGACTGACATAAAGCAAAGAAACCCCAAAATGTTACTTTCTGACTTATTGACAGTATGTGTGTAGTGTTTTAACCTTTCTACCACTGAGACATCTGATTCAATTTAGTGCATAAGTTTGTTGGCTACTTTCTGTAAGTAACTTGTAAGTGTACTGTAGCTAACTTTAGTGCAACTGTAGTGTAGTACTTCAGAAGGGCAGCTTGACTGTCATTTGACTACTTGAAATTCCAAGTAGGTTGTGGTTAGCTTGTGTTTTGATGCATACAATGATGCATAGCTTTCAAGGGGGTTTGTTGGATGTCGAGTTCATACAATGATTAAATCAAAAAGTTCATTCAGGACTACGGAGGTTGTTTCTTAGAACACTGGCACTAGAAAATGTGATTTTTTTTTTTGTATTTGAAATAGAATATTTACATGTTTAATAAACAGTGCATTTTAACAAACAGGATTTTCAAATATAACTAAACATCTTCCCTTTAGTACTGTAATGTCTAGACTATTGCTGAAAGGCAGTTTTCTCCTCAGTGAACTATTATGTTCAATGAGGATTACACAACTCTTTTACTGACCAATCAGTACAGTACATTGGAGACTGTGAAATAAATTGGTTTACATCCTTTTCATCCTGATATCAGCCTTTCAAATCCTTACAGAATCTCATAATGCCAATCCCCTTGACAGAGCATGTGCTTCTCTAATTTCTTTATTTCATTGCCGTCTCACTGGAGCATTATAATAGCGTTATGATATTAATTTCAAACCGTGCTCATGTCATGATAACCTGACCAGAGAGTATTACCAACATCAAACAACTGGCCTTTTGGCTTTAAGCTAGTGGAAACAAAGTGTTTTATAAATTAAACCCATGCTTATGTGATCTTTACATAAGAATCCTGGAATAGTTTTTGCTACAGAGCAGCCCAGAAGGAAAGCTTTAAAGCTGTATATATATATATATATATATATATATATATACACATGCACACATACACACATTTATTTTGAAATAGAAATCTTTTGTAACATAAACATCTGTTACTTTTAATGCATTGAATATTAATTTATCTACTAAACAAAACTAAATTAACTAAAATAAAGTAAAATAAAACAAATCAGTAAAAAAATAAATAAATAATAATAATAATTATACTGACCCCAACAGTAGTGTGTATATATACACGTGTTAGTTCCAGTCGTCAAATATGATTGGTCAATTTCAAGTTCAATCCAAAATGTGATGGTGTTTTTGTAGTTGTTTTCAGAGCAGTGCGATGTGTCAGCCATAGAATTGCCAGATCAACAATTTAAAGCGCAGCAGAGCATTTACTAGCTTGATTTTGAATTAATTAATACAAATTATGAGGTGAAACAGCTCAATGCATTTGGAAAAATTAAAATGCAGAGCTGAAACAATACACAGGCTAATGTTTATGAGAATTGCAGTGCATGAATTTAAGAAAGTAAGAAAACACTGTACTGGACTGGCTGTGGGAGGTGTGTTGCAGTCTGTTTTGCTATCTGATTTTTCAAATCAGTTGGGAATATTGCAAGAAGGAAAAAAACATATTGCAGATAAAAAGCCCATATATATGTATACAAGATGTTCAGCACAGACTACCCCATCAATAATAGACAAATGCTCACATTTTGGAAGAAATAAAAACACCTAGCAGAATGGATATTCAACTTCTGTGAGACTGAGGTCCATTCGATGCTGTTGTCGAACAGTAGCAGATACATCTCAGTTTGTCATGTACAGTATATGCCAGACAGGGATTTTCTCCAGTGGAGCAGCGCAAGTTTTAGTTCTTCTCCCTTTGCCATCTGTAGTTCATGAATAATCATTGAGAAATGACCTCTTCAGGGTTTTTCATGTCTTGCCCTTTTCTCGGACGAGTCCAGCACCCCGAGGTAAATGTGCAGATTGGTGATCCTTTAAGTGCGGCTATACGTCTTTACTCATCGTTTCTCTCAAGGATGGTCTGTGCTCCTCCCATTCCCACTGTTTCTTTTCCCCTCCATCCTTCCCTCTCTCTTATTCCCCTCTAATCTCTACCCTACACAAATCATTGATTTTTCAGAGGTTCTATAAAATATTCACGATGTGTGGGCAGGCCCCTTTCTTTGGGAATTTGGTGAGGGAAAATCATTTTGAAGGCAAAGTCGTAAAAGGAAAAAGAGAGACCGACAAAAAGAAATAAAGAGAGGGAGAGAAAGGCAAAAAAGAAAAGGCAAGATAAGAGCCACGGAAACCTTTCTAGCATCGTGTTTGGATTATCAATGGCTCACTTTGGAACAACTCCTGAATATAAATAAATAAGGAGGTACACTGATAAAGATTGCTATCCATGGTTCTTGTATCTCCATGCTCTTTTCTTAAAGCCTCAGGTCGAATTGATTCCAAGCAGATTCTCACTCTCTTCGGCTTTGAGGACACACTTCTTTTGTTTTCATTCTTCCATCTGTCACACCAGCTCCTTTCCTTCCACTTGAGTTTTTACATGTTACAGTATCATTGAAAATGAGAATATAATTTCATTACAGACCACTGTGTGTTTTTCAGTAAAACAATTTGATGTAGAGGTGTTTCTTCAACTATAAGCACTGCTAGCCCTGTAGAATTTTAGAAAACAAACTCTTAAAACACACTTATCATATTTTCATCAGCATTCTGGGGTAAAAATGAAGTGATGGAAATTATATTTAATTTTTTTTTTTTTTTAATCAAATGGCAGAGTATATTTCATAGCTAGCATTTTATGTTTTTTAAATTATACAAATAATATTTTCACACAGCTTGACTGAAAATGACACAAAATATTCTGTTGACAAGTAGTATTGAGCTTGATTTTTCTTCACACATCACATCTCATGAATCAAACATGCTCTTCACTGACACTGTTGTTTCCTTGGAAAAACAGGTAAAGTAGCTCATGAAGAAACTTTATTAGGTTCAAAATTGTTGGTTGTGGTTGAAAGTATGCAACAAATTGGAGAGGGAAAATTGTTCTAAATTTCCACACATGTTCTTTTATGGATCATCATAGTTTTAAATATGTAATAATTCATATTTGTATGATGGATTTTCATAGTTTAAGTTTGAAAGTCTGGGTCAAGGACAAGGGATAACCAATAAAATCTGTACACGAACAGAAAAATATATATATTCTAGACTTCATATAACAAAGAAATGAATATGTTTAAAAAAAAAAAAAAAAAGTCAACCCAAGGGACATGCAACCAAAAATCGTAATATTTTCTTTTATAGGGGCATGTCCATATATGCGATCTGTGATGGCCCTAGCCACCGCTTAAAATTTGATTGGTCAACCCAGGTGCCACCCCAAAATTATCCCATCACCCAAATCAGTGGCTGGACCTTCAGTAAAAACCCAATACAGCCTTTTTTGGTTTAAATCAGGGCAAAGGCAGTGTCAAGATATTTTTTGATAAAGCCAACAAATAGCAGTTCTTGTGCAGCTGGTTGCCATCTGGCTTTAACTTAGCACCTTTTCTAGCTCATTTAGCACATAACCTTTTCTAAGCCAAGCACATTATAAATCAGAGAAGCCACAATTTAATGAGCCTGTGCAAAACTTGTCAAAAGTCTGTACATGCCATTGGGCTTTTTTACTGTTTCTTCTATATCTATTTGATTAGTAGTTCTCGGTTTAATTCTTTGGCGACTCTTTTAACCATACCTCTTTTTTTTTCTAAAGGTTGGAGGGACGATGTACAACACCGGCCGCCATGTCTCACTCCGATTGGACAAAGAGCACCTGGTGAACATCTCCGGTGGACCGATGACGTACAGCCATCGTCTTGAGGAGATCAGGTTACACTTTGGAAGTGAGGATGGACAGGGCTCTGAGCATCTCCTCAACGGCCAGGCCTTCTCTGGGGAGGTGAGCATCGTCATAAGTGGGCTACAGATCAGACTGTAGAAAGCAAGTAGCTGCTGATATTCATCAGCCTATTGTTCTCTTAAGGTCACCATCTAAGTGCAAAGTGTAAAGACAGCAGGCCTCGAAGGTCAACAGCGGGTGTAGGCTGAAAGCAAACCTCTCCATGGCATAGGTCTAAAATATAGTGATGTTTTTATGCATCGAAAGATAGTCATAGTGTGCCTCAGAGCATGCATTTCATGAAATGTTTAACATGGCTTGCATCACAGTTTGCACCCTGCTGAACAATATCCTTTAACATACTGAAAAACGCATCAATTTTTTGGGTTGCAATAGTCCTTATTGTATTGCTGATGTCTTACTGTGCTCATTCTCCATTGTAAGTAGTCTCACACTAACAGAGCCATAACAGTAGGGAAAAGCATCTCAATTACATTCGCAGTGTCAATTTAGCATGCACTGCACTGCGGCCTCTATCATTTGATAAAGTCTCCAGTCAGTGAAGTCCTGACATTTCTCTTTGAGGGTAATGAGACCCACGATTTGTGTGGCAACAAAATAGGCGTGAGCTTGACAGGCAAATCCTCAGTAATTAATGATTATTATTTCTTTCCCCACCGCGGCAGCCAGCTGATAATCCAACAATAATAAAACAAAGTGTCAACAGTCTATCAGGGCAAAGCCAAGCATGACCCAGGCATCAAAAGGCCAGCTCTGTCTTTCACTCTTACGTTTAAACCATTACTTCTCACAATCTCAAAATCTATATTCATTGCTGCTGTAGTTGTTATTGCTTCAGCTAATGAATTTATGCCTTGACTATATCTGGAGAAAGATGTCTGTTAGCATATCCCCATTCATCTAAGTTGTTTGGCTAGTGCAGGAGTAGACAGAAGTACACTACCATTCAAAAGTTTGGGGTCAGTAAGATTTTTTTTTATTATTATTTTATTTTTTTGGAAAGAAATTAATAGCTGAGGGGTAATGGCTACTGGAAATTTAGCTTTGCCATAATTTTGAAATACATTTGTAAAAATATTAAAATAGAAAACAGTTTTTTTTTTTAATGTAATAATGATGAACAAAACATATTTCTTTCAAAAACATTTAAAAAATCTTACAGACTTCTTTTCAACTTTTGAATGGTAATCTATGTGATTGTGTAAAATTAAGAATCGTCTTACTTTCAATTTAATGAGATGAAATGTGAAATGAATTGGCAACATCCCAGAGTAAGTTAAAGTGGAATTTGAATCAGAATAAAAGGAAGAATTTACTGATTTGTAATTCAAAGAAATTCAGGCAATGCATTCTGGGGAATGTTCCAGCCATGGTCCAAAAAGGTCAATTATATCATCAACTTTAACTGTAAGGCCTATAAATATTCAAGTGTTTTCAAAAATGTCAAACAATTCTTTAAGTCAACATTCAAAGTTTGTGTGGACAGACTTTGCTTTTCTAGTTAAAAATTACATGAATTTCAATTAATTTTCATTCAACTTAGATTTACATTCGAACTGCAGTTCTGCATCCTGTTTGTTGCCGCAATTCAAATAATATGCAGGGTTAGGGTTAGTCGCCTGAGCCGAAATTACCAGGTGACTAAAAACTCTAGAGCAAAAAGAAAATGACGTCATGTTTAGGAAATAGCTTTCAGTATCACTCTTCCTTCTGCTGAGGAATAGCTCTGTAAAAAAAAAAAAAAAAAACTCTGAGAATGTAAATTAAATCAAATGAGCCGGGACTGTGCCTGTCCTTGAAAAGAGAATGGAGATGAAGAATATTACAACTTAAAGTGACAAACACATTCCCATTCGGTGACTGTTTTGCATTCAAATGCAGCCAAGCTTTTAAGCTTTATTTGGGTGTCTGTCTCTGTAAAATTCAACACGGCTGCCTTTCTCTTCTCTCATTTGTTCTATAGTAATAAAAGATTATGTTTTACTGATGCTCACGGTACCCAGAGGGAAGTTACCTCTCTGCAGATGCATTGCAAGAACATGCCTCATTCTCCCAGATCTGATATGGGCAGTGTCACTCACAAGCTGAAGATGAATCACCAGTGATGAAATGAGTGCTAAAATATTCAAGGTGTTGTTTAGAAACTTGCCTAGGTGGTTCCCCTCCATTCATTATTTCCCCTTGGAGATTTTAGATGCTCTTACTAGCATGCACAAACAACTGAAAACATTTTTTGCAAAGGTTTGTCTATGCAATGTTTGTCTTTATGTTTCTATTTCACATTCTTCAGTGCCTCTCAATAAACAACGTAATTATTTTGTGGGAATATGTATGTTTAGCTTTTAGCTGTCATTTATAGCTGTATTAAAGGGATAGTTCACCCAAAAATGACATTTTTGTCATAATTTACTTACGCTCATGTGGAAAACAAAAGAAGATATTTTGAAAAATGTCTTGTTTTTTGTCCATACAATGAAAGTCAGTGGGGTCCAAAACTATACTGGACCCCAATGACTTTCATTTTATGGACAACACATTCTTCAAAATATTTTATTTTGTATTTCACAGAAATATGTCAAGTCATACAGATTTGTAACTATGAGAAAGTGAGTAAATGATGACATAATTTTCATTCTTGCATGAACTACCCCTTTAAGTTGTTTACATACATCACAATGCACAAATCACAACTACATAAAAATCATTAAGCAGTGTTGCATTTTATTACCACATAAAATCATAATCTATGATGTAAAGACAGAAATGTGATGATATGCAGATTGGTCAAAGACGAAAAAAGGTTTCATGCAAAAAAGTCTTACCAAACATATTTAGAAAAACAATTATGTTATGACATTAAAATAATCTATTTAAGAATCACAGTGCATCCCCCAAATACTAATTATTAGAAATTTTAAATCTTTATACTTTGTCAATATCCTTCAAACCACTAGGTTTTACCCATTTGTCAGCAAGAAGTTTTTGTAAGGAAGTGAAAATCATTTAAAAATGTAATAAAATTTAGTAGGATCACATATTATTTACATATTTTAAGCACAGCTCAGAATAAGTATATTATTTCATTTTTACATAAATATATCTGCTACACCGAATGGCCATGGTTTCTTTGTTACTCTGAATGACATTCTGACAAAAAGGGAGAGAATATTGTCATTGTTCCCATGTTTTGAATATTCTGTACCATTAAATTACTGAGCAAATAACAGAAGCAGATGTTGAAAAAGAATAACCATTTTATTCTACGATGCATATCTATAATGGTGCAACCTGAAGAACAAGCATAACAAACCCCTTTATAATGGACAGTGCAACAGTAGACGGTTTAGAAACTTTTGTAGCCCACAAGAAGAACAGATTGTTACATAAACAACAAATATTGGTGGCAATACAATATATTCAATATTTCTCATTTGAGAACTTGATGGAACACACACAGTTGTCTTGACATCATGTGAAACACACTGGTGGAAATACAGTATAATTATTATCTCATTTAACTGAGTCGTCTTGACAAATGTGACCCTGGACCACAAAACCAGTCATAAGGGTAAATTTTTTGAAATTGAAAACTATTTGAAAATCTGGAATCTGAGGGTGCAAAAAAAATCAAAATATTGAGAAAATCGCTTTTAAAGTTCGATCACGTCCCTGAGCCTGTAAACACACCACACCAGGTCGTACACGTGCATCGCATTAACATGTTAGAAACACGTAACAGAGTCTCAGAGGAACCTGTTGATCTCCTCCGGTGAGTTTTGCGCAGACGGCGCCGCGGCTCGCGGGTGAGACGCCCGCAGGGTGGAGACAGGGTCTTTACGTTTGGTCCGATTGCCATGGCGTGGACGAACGGCGGGCGATTCTGTGGACATGAGGTCAGCGTGACGCTACGCTTCTGAGGTCTGCGAAACAAGAGCATCATTAGACTCTGAATAATCACTTTATTATGAACAAATATGACCCTGGAGCACAAAACCAGTCATACGGGTCAATTTTGTGAAATTGAGATTTATGCATCATCTGAAAGCTGAATAAATAAGTTGTTAGGTAAAAATTGTTAGGATATGACAATATTTGGCTGAGATACAACTATTTGAAAATCTGGAATCTGAGGGTGCAAAAAAAATCAAAATATTGAGAAAATCGCTTTTAAAGTTGTCCAAATGAAGTTCTTAGCAATGCATATTACTAATCAAAAATTAAGTTTTGATATATTTACAGTAGGAAATTTACAAAATATCTTAATGGAATATGATGTTTACTTAATATCCTAATGATTTTTGGCATTCAAGAAATATCTATCATTTTGATCCATACAATGTTTTTTTGGCTATTGCTACAAATATACCCCAGCGACTTAAGACTGGTTTTGTGGTCCAGGGTCACAAATGTGAAATGAACTGAACTGATGGTAATACTGTATAATCAGCATCTCTCATTTCATTGAGAACTTAGAACTTGAAGGACACACACACACACACTTTAAAGGACTCACACTTTATGATGATCATAATTTTGTGTATTGCATGCAATAGAACATGTTAGTATGCTTTAATATTCAAAAAACATTATTTTTCACATACTGTACATTATTGTAGCTCCTCTTTGCCCAGTCTTCCTAAAACGTGTCGATTTCTACAAAGTCCCTCCTTCGAAAAGCGCAGTGTGCTCTGATTGGCCAGATGACCCAGTGCGTTGTGATTGGCCGAACATCTCAATCATGTGTCGGAAATGTAACGCCCCTTACCATAATTACTGATATAAACTGTGTTATTAATTAATTAAAAATGCGTTCTGTTTGTCAACATAAATGACATGGTATCAGGATTGGTATTAATTTTCTTCATTAATTTTCTGGCGGTGCCTCGTAACTCTCTCTTTGTTTGTGGGCATCTAAAAAAATCAGTAATACATAAAAAAAGACAAAAATACATTAAAACATTAATATTTAAAAAATTTAACTTTTTTTAGTGCTAAACATCCCTCATTTCTCTGAAATATAAATAAAAATGCTATCTAAACAGTGACACTGTCATTTAGTGTAATGGATGACACTGGTGTAGCAGACAATTTTGCATTACCGAATGACAAAACATTACCCTGAATGACGAAACTTCTACTTAAGCTAATATTGCAGGCTAACAACTAGCCACCTATATAAAACAGTGAACTTGACCAGAAATGTTAATCATAATTATTCACAACATCTACTTATTTTTTCAAAAAAAATCTAACAATAAAAGTGTTTTTAGGCATTTCACTGAATGACATGTGATTTTGTAACTCAAGTTACCACGCTATGAAATTGTGAAATTATCAAATATTTAAGAGCAATAAATTAATCTTGCTGCAGCACCACATAGCCATCAGGGCGCCCTTTGATGATGTCACAAACTGTTTAATGACTATTTGTTGTTTATTTAATTTTAGAATGGCTTCCTGATCCTGTTACACTGAATGACCTCTGACAAACTGCATATTCGGGACAAACGTCCACTAGTTATTTCAATACTTAAGGGAAAAAAATAAGACATAGTCCTTTTAATATAATATAGCCAACACTTATGTGAACATGCCAAGGAAGCATTTTTTTTTTAAATGTAATCGTAAAATCAAAGTCCAGACCATTGCACTGAAAGACAATTTTACACTTTTGAACATTATTTAACTCATATTTTGTCATTTTATTTTCCCAAGAGTTATTTGAAACAAGAAAGTAGACACTTTACTTGCGTTTAATATGCTTTTTTTTTTTGTATGTAAAGTCACTGTAAATTTAATTTGATGCGGACACCAAAATGATGACGTCTCGTCTTTGACCCAGATATATTGCTGTTTCTAAATTAAACCACAGTCTCAGACTTTTTTAACAAGTATGCAAATATGTAAATAAACAGAACAATCGAATGCATAAACATTAACCGAGTGTTTCTTTGAAATAATAAACTAAAACATCTGTGATCTGCACAACTGTCTAACAGCCCACATTTCTGTTTTAGATCCCCTTCTCACCCTTTAATTAATTTCTAATTATCAATGGTAGCAAAATAACACATTACCATTGCTGTTCAGAGCTTAGATGCTACAGTATATTTGCTCATTAAAATCCCATTTTCATATGTCCTAAATATAGCAAAGTGCCATCTAAAAATTACAGCAGAAAATTGGAAACCATCAAACTTCCAGCATAACTAATTATATTATGTTATAAATTGCATAACAGCCTTCTCCATCATGTCCCATCAAACATGCTAAAACACAGAATCTCTACGTTCAGATGCCATGCTGTAAGCAGAAACTGGTCAAGTTAGCTGAGCTCCGGTCTGCCGGGTTTCACAGTCTACGTGCTCCTTCACAGGACATCTTAACATAATCAAATAGGATTGTTCTCCATACTCTCGGGCTTCCGTTTATATGCTTTATGAGCGGATGCTCCGATTCATCCGCTATTTGGATGGCAGTTCCAGGCGACTGCTTTTCATTTGCCCTGTTAGCGCTGTCCACCCCTCTTTTTGCTATCGACTTGCTGTCTTCATATTTCGCCCATGGTAGGCCTAAGCCAGCTATCACACAATAAAGAGCTTGTCAGGGGGCCCACCAGAGGCATAAGCTGTCTCCTGTCGTAGCAGAGACACCTCTCCTCTCACGGTCTGACAGATCTGTCTGTGTGCAAAGATGCGCTGAACATTTCCTGCTACTGTTCAACACCTTTCCACCATCTGCAAAATTCACAGAAGCAATGAATCCGGTGAGATGAGCGCCTCGGCTTTTCGCACATATAATGTGACTTCTTAGAGAGTCTATGAAGTCGGCTGAGTGTAAAAGTTTGGGGTTGAATCGCTTCAGACTTGCCTTCAAACTCGCTCTGGTTAGAGAGTTGAGGGAAAGTAATGGCTTCCCACAAAAAAAAAAAAAAGGGGAAAAAAATCTAATCAAATTAACATTCACCCTGTAAACGTGTTCCTCCACACTTGATTACGTTTATAGACGATCTGTCACTCCCTGGCTCCCCTTTTGCATATTTCATAATTACTATCAGCCACACAGTTTTTAATTTATTTCTTTTTAAAAACACAGCAGGTTAAACAGGGCTTGGTAAAGAATTGATCCCTTCGTTTTTACCAAAAAAAAGGATGTACGATGCTGCTCCCAGGAACTCTACACGTTCCTCAAATTGTTTACAGTGTTGTGTAGTTGGATACGACCTTGGAAGAGACACTTTTCCCATTAAAAAAAGTTATTTTACAATAATTGTTCTCTGCTCAAGGTAATCTGTACATTTCTTGGCTCTGCTTCCTTTCTGTGGAGTTCACTGAGGAGAAATTGTGTCCTCTTCACCTATCTAAACTGCCTAAGTTTTAAAGCTCTTTCACAGGGACAGTGTGCGCTCAAGCGATTCACCGGAGGAAGATTAGCCGAGCTTCACAATGAATTCGAATTTAAATTTGACAGACATGTTCAAACAAAGACAGAAGCAGCTGTTTACCTGTGATTGTGATTCAGAGCCATCTGTAATGACAAAACCTCAGGCTGTTATCCAAACTGACTCTCGGCTCATTCAAACTGTCACATTTATTTTTCATATTTATTTGAGGTGAAAACGGGTTGTAAGATTAAATCCGCACTATGAAACTGGATTTTCAGTAATTGCCATCCAAAGTATTATCAATCAGTAATTATTCCCAATTATGCTTTCATATTTCATAAACTCCAAGAGAAATTTGGCCTTAATATCTCAACACCTGCATAGCTAACACTTGACAACATGAACAACAACCTTCTTTGTGGGGAAAAAAGAGCAAAGACAGTACCTGTGCTATGTACTTAAGCTGACACTATTTTGTCCTTGATGGTGAGTATATAGCGAAGTAGGGAGTCATTAATTAATGCCCATTTTGTCTTTACACAGGTGCAGCTTATACATTACAACCATGAACTGTACACAAACTACACAGAAGCTGCTAAGAGTCCAAATGGCTTGGTGATAGTGTCAATATTTATGAAGGTGAGTAATGATCATACATTCAAACACTGAAAGTGAAAGCACAGAAATTAAGTATTTTAAACAATAGTTGAATAGCGTAATTCTCTTACTATCCACTGCACAGTAGTGTGAAAACATAGTCTGACATAAATGTTTGTTTCTCAGTAAATCCAATTTCTCAGTTTTGTTATAAATTACAAAATTATTAACAGAAAAAAGCAAAAAAATGCAAATCAGTGTTTAACTTTGTTCTTACTGTTGTACACATTTTATTATGTTTTAAGGATACTTAAAATATAATAATAAAAACAATAAATAACTTAAGAAATTAACAAAAAAAATAGTAAACAATATGTAATTGTATATGTATGTGTGTGTGTGTGTGTGTGTGTGTTTAAGAATTATTTGATGAATAGAGTGTTCAAAAGTACAGCATTTATTTCTCAATTTGAATTTGTACATTCATTCAGTAGATGGAGGGATGGATGGATAGAGGAAGAGACTGAAACAATTAGCCATGCAATTAGCAGACAACAGGCAAACTAAGTGTGCATCTCCCGGTCATTCTGGAAGGACAAGGTTATGAAATAACGTTCCCCTGCTTTATTAAAGGACTGAGAGTAGACATGGCTGCAGAGATTCCCTCAGGACAAGAGTTGAAGCTAAGATAATTAACCCACCCAGTGTCATTTGCAGGCTTAGTCCTCTTTGCCCTGAATGTGAGTCTCTTTGCCCAGGTGACGTGAGTCACCTCTTCTGTCTGTCCATATGGAAGATGCCTAATTCATGCTCAATAATATACAGTCTGTGTGTGCATCAAAACCCAATATGGACCTTATCCATATACCATAGAGAGACATTGTTTACATACAATTAAGCACTGATGTTTAAGGATTGTAATTATTCATTATGTGCCAACACTGTACATACAAAAAAAAAAAAAAAAAGCAAGATCCCAATTCGTCGGTCATCCGACGTGACGTCGAGAGTGACCGACTGAAAGGGAACCCCCCTTATAATAATTACATTTTGTTGCTTTGCAGCCTGAAATGAAGACAGACACAGTTTTTGTTTTATCCAGCTGTATTTACTCAGTCCAACATATAACATCCAAGTGAAAGATATAACACCAACATGTCAGAAAAAAAAAACAGAATCACTGAGTTGGAAGAATGATCACCCCCTATTTTGTTGAACCAACTTTTGCTTTAATTACAGCCTTTAGTCTGTTGAGATATGTCTCTGTCTCTAACTTTGCACATCTAGACTTTGCAATATTTGCCCACTCTTTGCAGAACTGCTCAAGTTCAGTTAAATTTAATGGTGACCGTTTGTGGACTGCAGTCTTCAAGTCATTCCACAGATTTTCACTGGGGTTTAATCATGCTCAATAATATACAGTCTGTGTGTGCATCAAAACCCAATATGGACCTTATCCATATACCATAGAGAGACATTGTTTACATACAATTAAGCACTGATGTTTAAGGATTGTAATTATTCATTATGTGCCAACACTGTTAATAAAAAAAAAAAAAAAAAAGTGCTGTCTTGTCAAATATGTTTTGTGGATTTGACACGTATAGCATTCGAAAATGATTTGAGAATACATTCAAACTATCAGCTCTATCTATTGAATAAAGGCTGACAAGTTGACATCTAATAGTGTTGACATAATAACCATATTTTTGCATGTCAAACATGTTTGTTTTGCTGGTGTTACTAGCTACTAAGCGGACGTACTGGAAATGTAGGAAATTCTCAAACAACATTCTTCAACAATTTGGATAATGGTTTCTGATGCTGTTGAAAAAAAAATTAGGGATACAGCAGTGAGAAGTATAGAAGTATATTTTTCATTCAGTCAGGACATAAAACTTACTTTCAGATATATTTAAGTATAAATCTGTTTATCCTATCTTAATTTTTATAATTTTTTTATTAAATGTTTATATATATATATAT